GCCAGAAGCAGCAAAATAATAGTGTCCTCTTAACAGCGTTGAGATTTTATGTCATCAATAAAAAGTGACTCCAAATTTTTCAGACTACTACTTAAGTTACAGGAAAAATCTCTCACCAACATATTCTTGCCTCTTTCTTCACAGCTGAGATTACCTAGGCAAACAAAAGGAGTAAACAACCCTCCCCAGGTTCCTTGGGCACCGTATTTTAACATAAGCAGTAACTATAAACTACAAAAAATTCAGGATTAAGACTAAAAGGCAATTATGAAACTAAGACAAATTCAAGATCACACACTCTAAGTCAAAACAATAAAGCTAAGTGTATTTACACTGAAAATCCTCAGCATCAGGAACATATTTAGCCAGCTCCCAACAACTGCAAGGACCTAGCCCAACTTTCCTCTGAATTTTGCTTCTCTTCTTTTCCTTTTTTTTGTGGGAGTGAGGGTGGGGATGGGGTGCGTGACAGCGAGTGGTTGCTTGTTTTATTACAATTTACGTTTAATTCTTTCTTCCTCATAACCAGTTGCTTACTGTGGGACTCATTCAAGTCACTTTGTTAGTAACTTGGAGGATCGTGGTGGAAGTCAGTTCCCATTTCCCAAATCACAGTGTCACTTCCATGTTACTTATGCATGTGTCTTCAGTGACCCTGTGGGAGGAAGACACTGAAGCAACGGGGGGGTTTGGAAAACACTTGCGAGTGCACGCTTTCCAACAACTTTCAACAACAAAAACTGAACAGTCAGTCAGCAAATAAGATGAAACACTGCAGACTGCTGGGAACAGCATTGAAGACTCTGATTCCAGCACCTATTTCATACGGTCCAGAGAAACTCTATTTTGAGTCTTTTTATTGCAGTTTAAGCTTAGGGCTTAAGGTATTACACTGCCGTAACATCTACCACGGCTACCTTTACATGGGAAGAAGCAGCCAATACATAACTAAAAAGTTCCGGAGTGCTGCAACGGATCAAACATTATTGCTGACTATTAAGGTAGTGGGACAGGAGGAGCAGGAGGGAGTGAAGACACCGTCATTTGTAAGCAAAGACAACTTTCTAAATGCACAACTATAAACCAAAAGCACCTGAATGTTTATACTTTGAAAACAGGTATGCAAATAACCTTCCTTGTTTAAAATGTGCTGTTACCATAAATAGATGTACACAGGTATGCCTATTGCATGTATTTCTGCATGTGCAAATACACAGCGAAGCCTACCTTTCACATGCATACTTAGAGCTAAATGCGTGTTAGCGCCCTGCCAATAGGAAATATCCACAGCAACAGGGGAAAACATACAAAAGCAGTGAACTCCAATTCTACCTCAATTTCCCATACCCACAAAAAACAAAACCTCAAACCAAAGAGGTAGCATAAGACAGCACAATAGGGAGGAGCTTAGGTTAAGCACAAGGACAACAGGTTTGCCTGTATATACCTTTTGACCCCGCAACCATCCCTATTTACGTAGACACACACACAGAGATTATTCACCTTCCTGCCCAGAAGGAGCCAAGGCAGGAATTGAGGCTGCTGGGCAAATATCAGTGTACATTATTGGTGCTTTTGTAAAATAAGCGTGCCTGCTTTGGGGTATTTATGAATTAGGCTAGAAATTAGCATGAAACTGTGCGTGCATAAAACTGTCGCCTGCTGTTCTTAACTTTCTTAACCAAATATTGTCAAATTAGCAACAACCACACTTCCCACTGAGGGTTGTATATTTAAATGTTTTAAAATCAAAAGCTATTTTTGGATTTATGTGAACCAAAAAAAGGGGCTAGAGTTGCATGTCTACAAGGAGGAAATAAACTCTATGCCCATACATTCGCTGCCTCTGTCAAAACTGGATGATTGGATCCTCATTTGAATTTATAGAGGCTGATTTTTTTAAAAGAAGCACCTTGAGAAGTTAACACAAACAACTTGAAGACAAAGCTTCCTTCTCCAAAAGATTAAAAAGAATTGAACGCACATATGGGGAGTAGAAATGCCATCTTGGACATGCAAACACTCTGAAAACCACTGACCAGATTGGGCACACAAGCTTAACGGAGAAAGCAGGCTTCAGTCTGAAGACCCCTGCAGCAGAAAGGGTTTATTTACAAAAATGGAACATAGAGCTGTTCAGAGGATGGCTAAGGAGAAGAATAGAAGAAAAGAACTGTTCAACAATACATTAAATAAATTATTGCAGCAGTCTTTAAGTCACAACATTAATACAGCCCTCTAGTAAGCAAAGGTATTAGCACAATTGTAAGCAGAACAGACTTGATGGTCCATTGGTCTCTTTCAGTACAGTAACTTGTGTTCTAGGACATTTGCCATAGCGCATAAAAGCCAAAAAAGTCGTCACTTGAAGAGAGTGGAATTAAACAAAGACACAAAGCAGGTAAAATTCAGCCCACGTTAACCTGTCATTCCACAGGATGGCCACACAGTTCGGGGCCACCAGCTCAGTCTTTTGGTTGCAACAGTGTCCCTTCTGTACCTACCATGCAGGAGACAGTCACAGTAACGCACGTTATTTATTAGTATTCCTACAGCATAACATGCTAGTACTCTTGCCTGATTACAATATTTCTACAATTGCTATTAGGATACTGGTGCATACACATTCTTCTGCACAGATATTGCTTGTACCTTACCAAAAGCCTCCCCAGAGAGCTGCTGCAAACGGCATAAATTAACTTGAAAAATAAATACATGCTCACTTCATCAGGACAGTAACTTGCAGCACACACTCAGCTTCCTTTCGTAACAACACATATAATTTATTTTTCTTTTTCCACTAATCTTTGGTGCAAGGGAAACAAAGAATTTCAAACACATCTAAAAATCTAACTCCTACATGACTGAATACCATATAACAATGTCAAAGAAGTCTGCAATTGGCAAAGGAGCTTCAATACACAGATAATTTATATGTAGGTACTTTTGCTCAGAATGTTTGATAAAAGTAAACTGCACTATATATTTCGTCCTACAGTTTCATCCTAAATGAGAAAGGTTTGTTTCTTCTCTCTTATTTTGCCCTTCAATCTTAAATGATGTTTCGGAGTCCCAAACAATTCAAGGACTGAAAGCTACTGCTTCTTTAGTACACTAACCAAAGTGATACTGAAACACTGTAAGATTCCATTATTTATTCAAAAAAAGAAGTCACAATGTATGGATACAGTCTATTAAGCAAGACTGTTTTAACAAACTTTAATGGCTAAAACCAGTTTATAATCCGAAGAAAAAAAAAAGAAAAAAGAGACAAGCTGTAATCGTTTGATCCACCAACAGTAAAACAGCAGTAGTTTAAATTTACTAAAGTGAAACCATTTAATAGGAAAAACATATATCTAGTAAAAGTACAGCAATAACTGCATTTGATTGAACAAACCTTAAAAAAGTTAATTGCTGACTGCAGAAAAGCTCAAAAAAGCTCCATCAGCCCCAAACATCAGCCTGTATAACACTTGCAAATTTAAGCAGTATGGATTTCAATACATTTGTTACAACTAGACACAACAAAGTTCTCCTTATGTAAGGTAAGCTTACATTTCAAGAATTCCTAATACAGAAACATTACTTGGAGAATACATCGTATACATAGGACTGTACCTTCAGCATCAAAACAGAAGTCTAGTAATATCATGTGATAACAACAATCTCCTAAAATAAAAACTACTTAAAAGTAATCTTCAGGTTCTCACACAACTCCCTTATTAACATCTTAATTGATTTTAATTTCTCCATCATATCCCAATGAACAATTACTCACAGAAGTAGTCTCTATAGACTTTAGTGGGGTTACTCCTGAAAGTAACAGCTCACCAAAGTTCAAAATGTGTAGTTCTTTCCTTAAAACATTTACAGAGAAATCTAAATGAAGCACTTAGAATTACCAACCTTACTTACAAGATCATGATTTTTTCCAATGTTACCTTTCTCAGTTCTAAAAACAGAGGGGTCGTAAGATTTTAGAAAATACAAGCTATAAGCAATACAATTTCATCAACAATAAGAAATCCAAGGGAAGAAGAAAAAAACATAAGACAAAAAACTTAACAGGATCTAGGATGACTGCCCAAAATAGCTTCCCCCACCCCTAAAACACACACATATACACACAGATAATTACTGCTTACTGATTTCTGGGGAGGAGCTTATCCCCAGCAGGCACCCAACTAGGGGGAAAATCGTATAAATACTCAAGGGTGACACTTGAAATCATCAGCTTCTGCTCACTCACCAGTGGCAGAAGAACTCCTCAACAGAGGAGGATTCACTGCTCTACCACTCTGCATTGGAGCTCCACAACATTCTGGTATGCTATGATTTCATTTCACTATCAGGTTTTGAAGGTAACTTCTACAGGATACGTGTTTTCTGGCTGGGGAGGGAAGGGGCTTGATAGTTAAGGGCCAGTGACAGCACCCTTACCACCCCTGGGGCTAACTGAAAGGCTACAGAGAAAAGCCTGCTTTCAAGCAAGCCAATGTGAGATTTTTAGCAGTGATGCTGAAGGAGCCAGGAGTTCGTGCTTCATTTTCTACAGCATTAGACAGAGGCAATAAGGTGGTGGTAGAGTGTCTATGTATTTCCACTGAAAACTTTTCTTCATTTCAGGAGTTTTGATGCATATGCAACTATTGGAGCCCTAGTGTAGCTAGGAAAATAATCACTGTTTCTGAAGACAGTGGCTTTAAATAGGCTGGCATTCACTTAAAATGATTCTCTTCCTAAGAGTGAGACTACTGCCTGTAAGCTATCTATACAAGAGCTCTAACATTCAAAGTGATAGCAATACTGATTCCCTTTTTCTTAGGAGGATTTTTCACAACTAGTGAAAGCAGGAGGAAGTAAGCACAAGATAATGTCACTTTTAGTACTGATGTTTTAAGAAAACTCATTTATTCACGCACAAGAAATGGCATTGAACAGCTTTTCTTTATAACAAACTTTTTCTCCCCTTTCTAACACAGAACGGATTTGGAAACATGCATTTACAGATATCCTTACTGCTGCTGCTTTGTCTGAACATTGTCCATGGTAGCGATGGATATTTTTCTGAGCGATATCAGAAACAATCCAGCATCAAGGGGCCACATTTTCTACCATTCAATGTAAAGAGTCAAGGTAAGTTTACTATTTTTTAACAATAAACTAACACAGGTATTCCTAGTTGGTCGATACATGAACAAAAGCCCTTTGTTTATACTATTGGTATTCAACTTTCCACTAACAGTTTAGATTTATTAAAATAATGTCATCACTGCAGAAAGAACTGGTAGTGGCTCTGGCAATTGCTTCCAGTTGACAAAGATGTACACTTGTCACAGACAAATTTTTTACACAATAACCACTAAAGGCATATAGAGCAGAAACAGAGCTGATCTTCAGTGGTGGGAAGAATTATGTACACAATCATGTTGTATTATGTACAACATGCTAATTATCCTCAAATTTCTTGATTCAAGACTGGGGTTTCTAACAAAAGACCTGTCATCTACAACATTCAGAAAGAACTTTTACATATTCTGTCATGTTATCTCTACTCAAAACAGACATTAGGTATGAATTTAAACATATGTCTGATCCACACGGCCAAATGAAGACCCATTTAAAGTCTCAAAAGGCAAAATAAACTGATATATAGTTGTAAAAATGTGACAAATTTCTACATATTTTTTTCATGAGTGATTTAAGCTTATACTTTAATTATCAGACTGATCTCATAGTAATATAACAATTCTAGCTTTATTATAAAAAATTCTCTTCATTTCATAAATCAGTCTTATGGTAGATTGTACAGGCAATATGTAATTGCAATGCTTTACATCGTGACATCCGATTTCAGGTATCCTCTGTGTCCTTATAAGTCAAATGGGTGGCTATAGTTAGTGTCTGACACTATTTGAGTTCTGGTTTATTTTTCCATGTTTGGGTCAAAGCCTTTTTTAAAAAATTTGAAATCAAAACTTCTCACTTCCTAGGTACTGGTTCTATTTCATGAATTGTCCCCCAAAATATGATTAGTAGTCTCTCTTTAAAATTATCATCACTAAAATTAAGAGAACTGAATCTTACTTGTAAACATCCTGCTCTCCCCCACTAAGACAATATCATTTTCCTTTAGACATCAACAGGCCATTCAGAATAGCTTTCACTTTTGCTGCATCCCATCTACTTTTAATTGTAATAATCATACTTGGGCAGAAATGCAGAAACTGAATGAAAGACTCAGAAAATGGCACTTCACCAGAAAAATTACATTTTCGGCTATACCTGCATTAGAAAATAGGGTAGCACAACAGAAGCAGATCTGGAGAGCAGAAGAGTTGCTGCTCAGGACTTTGCATCCACATTACCTTCATGTAGGAGGTTTTGTTTCAGAATAGCTCTAGTCTGATCCTACAGCCTGGATGCTCACGAGCAGTGCACATTGAGTCCAAAGACGCAGCCATGGTCTCACCCCAACCAGCTCCAGCCCACATGCTCCAAGAAAGCTCTGCAGGGAGAACCAAGCGAAAGCAGCATGGCTGGGAGACTTACCCCCCAAAATGTTCTTCTGTGCTGTACCAAAACACTGTCACAGTTTCACCCATTGCCTTCAGCACAAGGACTTTCTGAAACCCTACCAGCACTCTCAGATGGCATTTAGGTACATGTACATAAACAGCTACCCTGAGGACTTACGAACTGGAATTCCCACTGAGTTAAAGTTACATTTCCTTCCTCTTTCCTCACTAACTTTTCATAGGTTTTTCCATTACTTTATTCAGAATCATTTACATATTTATATTATTTTTAAGTGAAGTACAATATTTACTTGGTTATCCTCTACCATACTTCACTTACTTCTCTTCTCCTCGTAGTGTCTTTTTTTTTTCCCCCTTTATAGAAGATATTTGGAAAGGGGGAAGCCGGCAGCAAATCAAGGAAGGAGCTGGGTGGACAGGACGTGGGGTGAAAGGGGGAAATGAGTTGTCCTGAACTAAGTTTTCACTTACTATAGTAACACAGAATCTAATCTGTGTGAAACTTCTTATTTAGGATGACAACCATTATATTAACATGCAAGAAGTATAAAATGCTGCTGATTTAAGAAAGGTAATAACGACTATATACTAGACCTCAAAAGCAGGAACAGCCTAGAGTTTTACAGACCTGGTAGTCCAGTCATTCAAAATTGCTTAACAAATCTTCATTTGAGAACAAGCATCAAAATGGAGGACTGGAAAAACACTGCTATTCTTCAGTCAGGAAAACAACCATCCTACAGAGGGTTTTTAGAGTTTAAAGAGGGCAGACTGTTAAAGATCATCATTTCTAGTCTGAGACAATCATGGAAGAATAAAACAGGAGACTACAGAACCAAATTCATCTAACTATTGTCTAGTGAGCCCTTCCATATGCCAGTAGCTAAGGAGCATATGGCAAGTTTTTCATCTTAGCTTACTTTTCCTATTTGGTCACCAAACATTGGCTTCTAGAGATTTAGTTACTAATAAATTCTCTTTTTGTTTAGTATAGCTTTGTCAAAAAGCAGCCTGGAACTAAAATTTCAGTCTAGGCCCAAACTGGTGACTCAGGACAAATTGTAATAGATTACACAATTTCTGTTGGCAATCAAAACCTATTAAAGCTTCATTTAATTCGGTGAAATGGTTTTAACGATTTTAAAAATCTTGTTCTTGACAGCTCTCCAGTCAGAATATACTTTCTTTTTCTGTATGTATTTAGTGTTACCATTTTTTTTTTAATTACCAGGACACCATTTTTAAACCAGTAGCTCTTTGGTTTGAAATCTTTGAAAAGTCCTAGTTGAGAGTAATCATTAAATTAAGTCTGACTGTTCAGCAATGCTTAAATAAGCCATTATAGCAGATTATGTTAAAGTTTTCATACCTAATTCAATACATAAATAGGGTTTGACTGCACTCAGAGAACATAAACCAATTTTGCATCAAGATATGTGCCAAGACATATAAGAAAGCAGCCAACCACTACTTCAATTTTCCTGGTAAAAATCCTACTTCATCAATGCCTTCAGCTGTCCTTTTCTCAGAGGACTTACCATTGTCTCTAAGACAGTGCAATTGCCAGACATTTTAATTTAAAAGCAGCACAACTTTGAATATAGATCCTCACAGAAAATCTCTATAACAACATGAAGACTGACAAAGACTGACAAAGCTTTTAGCATCTCATGCAAAAAAGGCAGCACCCACCACTTTGTGAACCTAGAACTGATAGAAAGTTGCAACCTAAACATGGTAAAAAGCAAGAAAGAGAAGCACTCTGAAGAAAGTCTGATGCAATTTGCCACCAAAAAAAAAATAAATCAGATCTAGTGCAGTAACTGCATGTTACTTGGACACAGCTGAGTAAAATGAATGTTGCCCCTCTCACAGAAATTAAACTCCCTACGACTGCTAAAGAACAAAATACATTTGGTAGGCCTAGGCATAGTTCCTTGAGTTGGCGTTATGAAAGAGCAGACCTGGCTAGGATCACTGCTGTCTTCTGCCAAAGTACCCACATAAATGTTTGGGTTTGGATTTGATGCAGTTGATGTAAAAACATTTGTATTTTCCCCCTAATGCTTTGCAACTGAAACAGCACTAGCTCAGGAACCTGTTTAGGTATTTGTACTGAGGCTTTCATCTGCCCCATCTCTGTTCTCTGATGTGAACAGTTTTTGAAGTTCTATCCATAAATAAAACCTATGGCATAAATTCTGAGTCCTGCAGTTGAGTAAGCTGTTTTCTCCAGTGGCAGCTCTCTTATCTGTGGTGAAGAGAAAATGCGTAACGTGTAGAGAACATTTACATGCCACTTCGCTGCAGGATACGTGCTAATTCTGACAGGCTTAATCCTGTTCCAAATTATTTTTTCATACGATGTAGTTCTTAAAATTTGCCATGTCTTATGTCACCTATATAACAAGAAAACCAACTTGCAATTGCACTCTGCTGAATCTGGGAGTTCAGTAGGAAGAAATCCAACAATACCAGTAAGATACCAAAGACTGCACCAGACTTGTCACTGGTGCTCACAGATTCCACAACCTCCTTTGCAGCTGAGAGGGATATGTGTTTGCATTTTCAGTTTGTCAATAAATCACAGACATTGCTTTCTTTCTACGTGTAGGATTTTGACAACTATCTTCCTTTTCATTGCCTTAAGGAGGATGAGACAGGAAGGTGTGCAAAATAACATGATATGCATTTGTGCTGATTTTATGCATCAGCAAAAAAGAAAATGCACTCCCTACACTTGGTAGATAAGACCAATCTCCCTGGCAATTCAGGAAGAAGGCATCATTGCAGATCCAATATAAAACCAAAATCAAATGTATTTCATATACGCATCTCTTATTTTTAAAAATACAATATGTACAAGAAAATATTCTTCCTCCTTCATCACATTTTTGGTTCATCAAGACAAGCTAGAGATTGGAAAAAGCAATTTATTATCCAAGAGACAGAAGAACAGTCATTGCATAAACTTTTATATACAAATATGTATGTAGATACACACATTCCTCTTTCTGTAAAAGACTGAAATGCAAGTTTTAGCTGATCCAATTGTCGATCAATTATCTTTTCCAAATGTTTTCTAAATCAGCATCAAACAGAATATGTTGCCACTACAAAAACCAGAATCCAAGCTCTTCCTATATCCCTCAGTTTTTATTTTTAAAATTACTTCTTACATTAACAGTCATCATAGGTATGGTATTTCATTCTATAATGATGCCAGTTGTTGCGAACTACTGACGTAGTCTCACAATATCTATGTTAATCTTGTCTGCAATGTCCCACAAATCAGCATCTTAATTCCAACCTGAAGCTGCAAGCTCCCCCAGAGTGCACAGAAAACTAAGCAGTGAGCTTCTTTGTTTATTCCTCTATTTGTGACATTCGGTGAAGTGGCTCCACCTGCTGTTTTGAGAACTAAGAAAATGAAGTAGTATTAAAACAAAACAATGCTGGAATTCTGACTGCGGTAAGACAAATTATCAGTTGTGACCTTGCCACTATGTGAAATTTTTATGACAAATGAAAATCTTTAGGACAGTATTTGAATATATAACATTCATATGTTTACCAAAAAAAAACAAACCCGAGCCATGGCCCACTTTTGAAAGTGTGTGTGTGTGTGTGAAGGACAAAAATCTCACCACTTAAATGCAGCATGAAGAAGTTTCAGAAAAGCAGCCACACCTGCACAGGAAGCTTCCTCTAGTTTCGTTCATTATCAAGATGCAAGCCTGATGACTTGCTAAGTCACTTACCTGTTCTTTTTTTTTTCCTTCCTTAATAGTTTGCATCTATTTGCACAGCATTTTTTATGCTCTCTGATGACCCTAAATGTTTTGAAGCCAAAAAAAATTCTAGAGGCCTCATAGCTCACAACACAACTCCAACAAATTTGTACTTGTTACTTGTGTGTCTGAGACACTTTTGCTCTGAACATCAGGTTCTCAGTGACCAAACATAGCATTCGGAACTTGACTTCTATGAGTTTCAAGCTAAGTTAACCCTTCACACATTTCTCCACCATGCTACAAGTCTGCAAATCTGTTACAGCTGCGCTGGCTGACCTGGTTTCCTCTCTCTCACAGGTGTGCAGATAAGGGGTGAACAAGGACCCCCCGGTCCCCCAGGCCCTATTGGACCAAGAGGACAACCAGGTCCTGCAGGAAAGCCAGGGTTTGGAAGTCCTGGTCCCCAAGGCCCCCCAGGTCCCCCAGGACCACCTGGATTCTCTGCAGTTGGAAAGCCAGGTGTGCCAGGTCTACCAGGAAAGCCAGGAGACAGAGGACTAAACGGTGAGAAAGGAGAAGCTGGACCTATTGGGCTCCCAGGAGCAAGAGGGCCCCAAGGACCACCTGGCACTCCCGGCCCTGCAGGACTGTCTGTTCCTGGCAAGCCAGGGCCACAAGGCCCCCCGGGAGCTCAAGGGCCGAGGGGCCTCCCCGGTGAGAAGGGAGAGCCAGGCATCCCTGGTATAAACGGACAAAAGGGAGAAAATGGATTCGGCGTTCCAGGCCGCCCAGGCAGCAGGGGTCTTCCAGGCCCGCAGGGACCCCGGGGCCTCCCTGGTCTTGCTGGGGTAGGGAAACCTGGTGAAAACGGTCTTCCAGGTCAGCCAGGTATGAAAGGTGACAGAGGTTTACCAGGTGCACCCGGAGCGGCTGGTATCCCAGGTCCCCAGGGTCCCCCAGGAGAACCTGGAGAAGCTGGCGTTGGCAAGCCTGGGCCAATGGGACCACCAGGAGTAGCCGGCATCCCTGGAGCCAAGGGACACCCCGGACCTGCAGGCTTGCCTGGATCCCCAGGTCTTCCAGGATTTGGAAAGCCAGGATTGCCAGGGATGAAGGGACACAGAGGGCCTGAAGGTCCTCCTGGCCTTCCAGGACCCAAAGGAGATCAAGGCCCAGCTGGTGTGCCAGGAGAACCAGGGCCTGCCGGGCCACCAGGGAACATGGGCCCTCAAGGACTGAAAGGCTTGCCTGGTGAGAACGGCCTACCCGGGCCCAAAGGCGACATGGGCCCTGCAGGCCCCCCGGGATTCCCAGGGGCCAAGGGTGAACGAGGTCTACCAGGATTAGAGGGAAAACCAGGATACCCAGGTGAGCAGGGTCTTGCCGGTCTTAAGGGACACCCAGGTCTCCCAGGTCCAAAAGGCGACACTGGCCATGCTGGGCTACCTGGCTTGCCTGGCCCAATGGGTCCACAAGGAGTTAAGGGAGTGCCAGGGATCAATGGCGAGCCGGGCCCCCGAGGGCCTTCAGGAATACCTGGGATCAGAGGCCCCATCGGCCCCCCTGGCCTGCCAGGAGCCCCTGGTGTGAAAGGCGAGCCGGGAGCACCAGGACTGCCAGGCCCAGCAGGTATTTCTACAAAAGGCTTAAGCGGACCCATGGGACCACCTGGACCCCCCGGGCCTAAAGGCAACAACGGAGAGCCTGGCTTGCCAGGCCCCCCTGGTCCTCCTGGTCCCCCCGGCCAAGCCGTAATTCCACAGATGCCCGAAAGCTACGTTAAGGCAGGAGAGTCTCGGGAGCTATCAGGAATGTCTTACATGAAAGGAGGAGTAAACCAAGCTCTTACAGGGATGCCAGTGTCTGCTTTCAGCGTCATCCTCTCAAAAGCCTACCCTGGAGCAACAGTCCCCATCAAATTTGACAAAATCTTGTACAACAGGCAGCAACACTATGACCCCAGAACAGGAATCTTCACCTGCAGGATCCCTGGACTGTACTATTTCTCCTACCATGTACATGCAAAAGGAACAAATGTTTGGGTTGCACTCTACAAAAATGGTTCCCCACTCATGTACACCTATGATGAGTACAAGAAAGGATACCTTGATCAGGCTTCTGGCAGTGCTGTCATCGATCTCATGGAGAACGATCAAGTATGGCTCCAACTGCCCAATTCTGAATCTAACGGTCTCTATTCCTCCGACTACGTTCACTCTTCTTTCTCAGGTTTCCTTTTTGCTCATATCTAACAACATCCCACTTACACTGTCCTGACACTCCTTCAGACCATTTTAACTGGGCGCTGATCCGATTCGTCCAGGTCATACAACTTCAATTTTGCAAAAAAAATGGAGGAGGTGAGAAGGTGGGAGAGAGTGGTTCAAACCTAGTAGAATAATACTGTATGTTTTTAGAGAATTGTCACAAGAAATTTGTTTCAAATGATGATTAATTGTCTGACTGAACACAACATTAAAATTTTATGAATTAATATAATGCACCAGCCTCTCTTTTTTCCCCCCCTTTTTTTTTTTGGAAAAGGAAAATCAGAATTTCTAACTATCACTTCTCATAACACAACGAATAGCCATTCCAAGACTCTAGGTCATACTTCACTATACCTGAAGGTATTATTCAAAGTAAACAGTCTCAGATACACCACAGTCATCACAACAGCTGGATAATATGCTTTAGGAACATTCTGCTATCTGTCAGCTTCATCTTTAACCTATCAAACAGGAGTCAAGAAAACAACTCTAATACAGTGCATACCGTGTCAGAGTTTTAATTGAGTTCCACTTTTCTTATTAATAACTGCCTCAGAGAAATGTAGATTTACAAATTACTACCTGTTACTGAAGACTTAAGACTTTCACAATATCAAAAAGTAATCAGATTTGAAGCCTAGAAATCCAGTTAGTTTGCTTTGCTGCACATTTTGTAATCTGCAGCAACAAACTAGTTTGGTATTTTTTAAGCTCCTAACATTCTGTAAAACTACAATATTCAGAGTACTGTAAAACAACTATCACCAAATCCAGACATTACGAACATGTCTGCGTGCTTGTGAAGATACTCACAAAATCAGAATAGCTTTGCCACCCCAAAATTGGAGACAATCTTTGTGCTGATTTTCCCTGAACAGTTCATTCTTTTAAAACACATTAGTCTGGGGAATATATTTTACTTACATGGTAAATTTATCATATGATGCCAGTAATTAGTCAGTAGACATAATCATATTTACCATACCTACATATACTCATGTCTCACAGACATTAGATATTACATTAATCTTTTATGGCCCTATGAAAAGTTACTGGTATAGAGTAAGCTAGCTTAGTAAAATTTGTGCTTATAAATTATGAAACCATAATAGTTTGATCACACATGTCTTCCAACAGCAGCTATCACTCATGTGCTTTAAAGGTATCATATACATCAAAACCTCATGAACTCTTAAACTATTATTTTTAGCTTCATTTTTTTTACACAGAAGTTTTTAATCACTTGCACTAAAAGTATGTAGGCCTATGTTTAAAAGTTTTGTCATTTTACCATTTCTTCATGAAAGCAGAACCTGAAGCTTGTTATGTTGTATACATTTGAAATCAGCAATTTCCTAAGTACTTGATAATATGTTGGGATTAATAAAAAAAGTGAGGAGACCTTTAGGTTGATCCATCACGAGCAAAGCTGTATAATGTTTTGGAAACTGTATAGAACTACCAAGAAAGCAACTTTGCAGAATTATTTTTTCTTCCTTTATTAAGTGCTGCTGGATATGGAAGCCTGTGGTTCAGGCTATATTTTGATAAAATAATAAATGCTTAAGTAAAGAGTGTAACATGAGATCTGCTTATCTTAGCAGCCGAGCAGACCTAGGCAAGCAAATTGGTACTACTATTAAAAACACTGCACACAAATGTTTGTATGGAAATAATACAGTGGGCAGTACCACAATTTCTAAGTAGCAATCCTGCAATACTTTTCTTTCAAGCCAAAATAAACTCAAGACACTTCAGTCTGAATTGTCTAACCCCACTTTTCTACCTTCCTGTTTCAGGCCAAATATTAATTACCAATCTCCTAGGAATTACCTCTTTTTGCACCAAGAATGTTTTCCTGTGCAGTCATTTGCATTAGTTCAGCAGCACTTTCCAGTATTTAAACATAGCATGTGCTGCTGCCCATACATTCAACCAATCTGACACTTTTGTTTCAGAAACAAATAAGAGGGACTGGGTACTGCGAGAAAATACTGCTCAGTAGTTGTAAAGTTGCTGGTTAATTGCTTTACATGTGAAACGTATGCCAAAGCACATGTTTAAAATTGTTGGACATGCTTGGTGCTCAGCAGTACATTACTGTCCTGTGATTCCAATTAACTAGTCTCTGCACAAGAAACTGGGCCCAGACAGTATTCTTAAAAGCATATTTCACTAGTCCTTATCGTCCATCCACTTTAAATCAGGTTTTGTCCTTGAACGTCTTTGTTCCTCAAATGAGCATGTAGGACTTCAAGTCTACAGCTTAGCACCTCATGCCTGTCTTTTTGAAGGCTTTTCAGAATTGTTCAGACATTAAGTCATCAAGAAAGCAACTCTTAACACTGAAAAGCTAGAGATTACACACCAAATTGTGGCACAAAACCAACTTATACCTTGATTTCAGTTTAGAGAGGACTTCAAGAAGGTCTGTAAGATTTTTGTTTTTTAGTATTTTCTCCACATGAAGATCAGCAACCTACGTAAAGATAAAGCTCTTCCAGAAAGCACATCTCTTCTGAATCACAGGCATTAGAGGAAAGAAAATCCAGTATGAGATCAAAATGAAAACATAAGAGCCTGTAATGGTACAAAACTCACTTCCAAAGAACTACTGAAATTTTTGAAGCCTTAAGTGGTCAAAACACATGTAGCACCCAAATAATTCCTTCTGTATTTAGCTGGAAAGCCCCGCAGAAAAGTGTAACAAATTTACTTGCTTCTACCTTTGTTGCAGTTTTCACAATTAAGACAAATAAAGATCTCTCATCACTGGACTACGTCAACAATAGGCATTTCTAATGTTTTGCCGAATTTTTGGAGGATCCTTTCTTTTTGGCCAGAAAAGCATCTTTGCTTTTTGTTTGTTGTAGTTGAAGTTGCATAAAAAAAAAAAATATATCACACACACAGACATCTAGATTCATTATCTTCTGCCAATACAACAGAGTAATACCATAAACTTGTGATCAAAAAACCTCTCTGTGTCTGTATATGTGCACATGTTTTTGGGGACAGAATGGGGTAGTTTAGAAAGATCCAAAGTAACACTTCCCATATATCAGCATGCCACTTCAGAATACTGATTAATTACGTAAGAAAGACAAAATGCAAGTTATTAAAAAACAGGTTTTAAGTCTAGCACTTTCTTGCTCTGATAATTTTCCTTTTTGTAAAAGATGGTCAGTGACAAATTTCTCAGATGTGTCCTTGAAACCTTACAGCAGATCTCATCAAGTCTTTTTATGGGCAATTTATGAAGTCTCTGCTGCCACATCAGCCATGACCTTTTTACTTCCAAAATGAAATATAACCTTATGAATTGACTGAAAATATTACAAATATATAATTTTCACTACATAACCAAAGATGCTATGGTTTTCAGAAGTGTCAGGGAAACTATAGCAAAAGACAATCATCCAAGAGAGAGAATGTAGCCTTTAAGAGAAGAAATTTTACAAAATTCTACTTTAAGAACTTATATTAGGCAACTTCCCCCTATGAAAACTATTGATCTTTCTGTCAAAAAAACCACTAAGACTGAAATTTTTCACATGGAAATAATTATACAGTACTTCAAGCCCTCATTACTCCTCTGAAGATCAAACTTTGTTTCCATAAGGTGTTGTGGACTTCTGTCCACATATTTATATCGTGTAAAATACATTGCCACATGACGTTTCCTTTAAAATTGCTCTCTACTAACGTCTATAGAACATACACTAAATGCAACACATACAAAGTAACGTTAATCACCTTAAAGCTGCAAAATATTCCAGTAATTAAAGAAAGTTAGAGAGTTAAAAAAAGGATTCTCAAGGAATTTAATGCTCAACTTGGATATCAATTGCAGAGGGCATTCTTGCAGGGATTATTAGGTAAGAAATGACCATTTTGCAAATACAAATATGTGTTCATTGCTGACATCATCCTTTTCCGATAGTATTGTTTAACAGATTCTCCCCATTTTTTTGCGTTATTCTTCACAAAGGGAGGTCTGAGTAACGCAAGACTACTTTGGAACCCTCTTT